AAAAATTAATAATATTAAAACCGACTTTTTGTGTGGCCGCTGTCCGTTTTAGCCATACTATTTTTAAAACCATCTGAACACAAAATGTGTAAATAAACATGTATCTATTCTTCATATATTAAACATCGTTTAATCTCAAATATACAGACATTTAATAATTTTACAGTGGCAACAAATATAATAAAAAATAATTGTGTAGATCTCCGAGTAAACATTTTTAATAAGTATAACTTTGTTTAAAAAAAATAAAGCGTTTTCATAAGCCATAATAATAATTTTCTCTAGGCTAATATTATACAATACAAATAAATACATTTAGTGAATTAATGTAATGGTAGTAAAAATACATCCGTACCATTATGAAAATGTGCTCTGTACATAAAAGTTTGCTATAAAATTAAATATTCGTCGTTATCTTTCACTGTAAAACAGGAGGAAGGGGAAGGATGAGGGGCGTTTCAAATATTTTTTTAAAGACGGGCGTTTTTTCACATGATATTGTAAGGTTAGGTTCATAAAGCTTTTTATTTCCTGATATACTTATTCAGTTAGTTTGTATAAATGCACCACGAATGATCTTAAAAGTTTACCAAGTATCGTGATATTCGTGGCACTGTGGTTTCCCGATTACCGTACACACTCTTAACATAATTAGAGTAGATATAGTTATTTAAAGCGTCAGCTCTGCTATTCCGCCAAGCGGTCACCTATTTAATCAAATCCCAATCAGAAAATTTTTCTGGAATACAAATTCTACTTAGGATGCTGATCAAAGTTTATCCAGCAAAAAAACACACAAGTAAAATGTCTGCTGCTTGTAATCGATACAACATTGTTTCAGATTTTTAGGGAATTTTCCTAAATTGATGTCCCAATACTAGTGGGAAGGGATAAGTAGGACATGTGTTAAAAGTTGTTAGCGCAATTTCCATTCTGGAGAATTGCGTTTATTAACCCGTCATTTCTGGATGGATGGATGGATGGATGGATGAATGTGTGTCCGCAGCTTTAAGTCGTATCTCCTCCTCAACGAAGCAATATCGATGACTAGTTCCAAAAGCAATTATGTTAAGCAAGTTACGAGGATGAACATAGGCCATAAAAATTCCGGGTTTCTTTCATGGATTTCCCAGAAAAGCCAAAAAATCTCGAAAAAAAGCAGTTTTTGGCCCATATCTCGGCAACCAGACCACTTAGCGACTTGAAACATGTACCAATCGATTCCTGTCATAATTTAGAACAATATTGCCGAAGAAAGTTTTCAAAAATATTCTCTCGTTCGGTCACAAATTTTAAAATTACATAAACACCTACAAACCGATTGTTCTTCTAGCTTGAACGCACCCCAACATTATACGTCAGAGCTATTTTTAGATAACATAAGGAAATTGCGCACAAATGTCACTAGACTTTTTTAATTAACTTGTTTTTTTCCTTGTTTTTACGGAAACTAACAATTGATCAGTTTACTTAAAAGCTACATGTTAGAAGTGATTTTCTTTATTGATGACGACAAAAACTGATATTTATTCTTAAGCTGAAATGTATAATATATTTTCCTATTTTACTGTTTTTACCCCATAGAGAGCAGTTAAGCGCATCCCTTACGTATAAACGGGCAACAAAAAACTAGACTTTAATAAATCAAAGACTCGTAACAAAAGAATAATTGAACTTTAATCTGCTATATCCACTATACACAAACTAGGAATCAAAGTCAATTCTAGCATGTCTAACGATGTTACACACAAGAACAAACGCCCTTGTACAAAGTACGATTCTAAATGAACAACAGTGGGCCTACTTTAACTTGGTAATAGTGGAATAAGGTACCAAATCACATATTTCTTTACCCGTCCTTATATGCATGTACCAAATCGTGTACAAAATATACGGTGATAACAAACCGCATAGAAAAAAAGTGAAAACTTATCAACGAACTTGAGGGGTTACTAAATACAAATAACATTCAATATTTCTTTATCAAGCTGGAATGAACAAAAGTAAACTTGGCATAACTGAAATCTCAATTGTTTTATCTTTCTCTTGGTGCAAAATACATTTTAAACAACAATTTTATTCATATAAGATTGAACTTGAATTAGAAATACATTGATTGAAAGAAAAAACATGATTTTTTTTTAAAGTAAGAAAAACAATGAGTAAGTTAATATAATTCAAATATATTTATTAAAATGCAAAATACAAACATTACATAAATTGCAATTTGGTAATCTCCATTTGTGTGTTATGTTTATATAAATCTTAGTATATATAACATGGCGCTATTATAATTTAACCTTGATTAAATAATGAAATGATTACATAGGCCAACATAAAAGAATATAAAAAATCCACACAAAATGATAATAATATGCCCTACAATTGTAATACACAGCAGTCCTTAAGACTGAACGCATTGTTTGTTTTATCAACGATAAGCATTGAATTAAGATAAACATCAGTCGGAGTTTTCTGTGACAGTAAAAGGGTGGTCCAATAGTGTTTTTGCTGATGGGCGTTTCATCACATCATGTTGCAAGGTTTGGTCTAGAAAGCTGATCATTTCCTGCGACGACCAATCAGGTAGTTCATATAAAGGCTTGTTGGGACTACTGATATGTAAAATATACCAAGTATCAGGATATTGATAGCATGGCGGGTTCCCCGTAGCCATTTCAATTACTGTACATCCCACGCTCCTAAAATGATTTCATGAAATCAACAAAGGCACACACACACACACACTATACTATATATATATATATATATATATATATATATATATATATATATATATATATATATATATATATATATATATATATATATATATATATATATATATATATATATATATATATATATATATATATATATATATATATATATAAATTCAGTCACATGGTATTTGGGGTAAAAATATAGTCTTTTCTTGCTTTGTGACAATCTTTGTGCTAAATAAGTATTTTCTTAAAAGTTATTTATTAAACATTGGTAGCCTGTATAAAGTATTTGCAGTTTTAAAAAGTTTTTTTTATGATTAAAAACAACATGATTGTATTCATGATAGTTATATGTAGTTAAAACATAGAAAAACAATAATTATAGCGTTTTACCTACCAAATGTCAGAATTACAGCCGCACGTTTGCTGATGATCAGCAATCATTACTTCTGGAGCCATCCACTTTACGGTACCCACGCATGTTTTAGCCTTAGTGAAATCATTAACCAGCTTAGACGTACCAAAATCTGATAATTTTACGCTGTTTTCGTTCTCCAGAAGAATATTATCTCCTACAAATAAAATAGACACGAAAACGCAAAAATTGCAATTATACACATACAATGTTGGAGCATTATAAAAAAATTACAGTAACACTACAACCAATTATTGAGACGTTATGACAGAAGAAAAGTTAATGTGAATACAGAACAGTTTAGCTTAGCTGTATCTGAGGAAAAAAAATCCTCCATAAATTCTGATTTTCACAAAACTTAAAATTTTGAGATTTTTTTTCAATTTTACCACGAGATTAAAAAAAAAAGAGTTTCCATTCACTTTTGCAACCTACTTTTGAATACTTAAACCAATATCACCTTCACAGGTTTTCGCTATACTTCAGAGCTATCTTGTTAAATAATGTAACACAAACAGTTTTTTTCTTTTAAAAAAGTCTCCATATACAAACAAAAATACATAATTTTGCATAACAGTTAACTTTGAAATCTCTTAAAATTTAACTCTTAAATTTACACTTAAATAAGAAACCTTTTATATCCCTGTGCACAATTGGTGGTTGAAATGTGTGTAAATAGTGAAGTCCTTCTATGATTTGTCGCGTAAAAATACGAATTTGTTTCTCTTGCAAAGGTTTGTCTTTTATGTACGATTTGATGGATCCCTGTAATATTAAAGAATAACTTACTTTAATACATTTTTAACAGTGTTCGAATTACGACAAAAATTTAAACTCATAAACTAAAATAGTTTTATATCATTTCATTTCTACTCCTTAATTTATATATTTTAGAAGAAGTATTAAATTAGAAAAAATTAGAAAAAGGTCTAAGTAATAATCATAACACATCCAGTATATATTTACAAAATGATATATAACAGTATCATTTAATACAGACTATTATAAAACAGTATAAAAATATTTAATTATACCTAATTTGTATCGTTTAAGTTATAACTCGAAATGAAACAAAGAAATCTCACATATTTCATGAAATCGAAAAATAAAACAAGTTTATTTTGTGTTTCCCTCTTGAAGCCATGGAACTTTACAATTCTTGCATGCTCTATTTTCATCAATATGCTTAATTCCATTAAATTCTGAGATAACATTTCATTATGAAAATATGTTAAAACTTTAGGTTAAATACAAAAAATCAACATGCAAAAATGCAACTTAAAAAATGTACATAACTATTGCATTATTCAATAAATTTTTAAATACCGCAGACAGTTTATATATATATATATATATATATATATATATATATATATATATATATATATATATATATATATATGTGTGTGTGTGTGTGTGTGTGTGAGTGTGTATGTGTGTGTGTATGTGTGTGTGTGTATGTGTGTGTGTATGCGTGTGTGTGTATGTATATGCGTGTGTGTGTACGTGTGTCTATTAATGTATGTACTTATAATTACGTATGTAAATATCAATAAAGGTTGTTACCAATGAGTGATCTGTAGCATTTTTTTCAATCACAATATATTTTGCTATGTATTTTTTCAAGCCTGGAGCAAGTTTGTCTTCTATGTGGTACACTGTACCAAATTGGCCTCTGGCGATGAAGTCAGCTTTTGCCCAATGATCCGGAAACTCAGCAGAAATTATTTCTGTAAATGAAAATCACTTGCTATAAATAGGTAGTGTCCAAAAATTACAAATACATTCTTGTTTTGCTAATTCTGAATTGTTTGCATCCACACAAAAAACGCTATATGTATATATATATATATATATATATATATATATATATATATATATATATATATATATATATATATATATAAATATAAATATATATATATATATATATATATATATATATATATATATATATATATATATATATATAAAGCAATGTATGTGTGTGTGTTTGTCCTTTATGCATTACTACACCTCTCATCACATCGCCGTGAAATTTAAGAAAGTTGTTGAGAATATTCCTGGGGAGGTTTCTGCGAAAAAAAAAATTTCAAATTCGCAGGGGTGGCGCCCCGGCAGGGCGCGATTTGTTTTTCTCTATATACCGTTTATAAAAATAAAAGTCGATTTTGGTTTGGCATCGTTCATCCGATAGCCATGAGACTTTGGGGAGTTCATTATACCACTCTAGGGAAGGGTTCTGTAAAAAATAATTTTTTTATTTCGCAAGGGCGGCGCCACGGGAGGGTCCGATTTTTCTCTATATACGGTGTATACAAATAATAAAAGTGAACTGCAGTAACACCGTTCATCCGATAGGCATGAAACTTTGGGGAAATCATTATACCACTGTATAGAAGGGTTCTGTAAAAAATATTTTTTTATTTCGCAAGGGCGGCGCCACGGGAGGGTCCGATTTTTCTCAATATACGGTATATAAAAATAATAAAAGTGAATTGCAGTAACACCGTTCATCCGATAGGCATGAAACTTTGGGGAGTTCATTATACCACTGTATGGAAGGGTTCTGTAAAAAAATATTTTTTTATTTCTCAAGGGCGGCGCCACGGGAGGGTGCGATTTTTCTCTATATACGGTATATTTTTAAAAATAGTAGATTTTGGTGTGACACCGTTATCCGAAAGCCATGAGACTTTGGGGGAGTTGGTTAGAACAATTCAGGGAAGGGTTCTGTAAACAAAAAATCCTTTTTTAATTTCGCAAGGGCGGCGCCACGGGAGGCTGCAATTTTTCTCTATTTACGGTTTATAAAAATAAAAGTCTATTTCGGTTTCACATCGTTCATCCGTGTACCATGAAACTTTGGGGAGATGATTAGATCACTCAATGGTAGGGTTCTGCAAAAAAATGTTGTTTAATAATGCAATGGCGGCGCCCCCCGGGGGGAGCGATTTTTTTTCTCTTTACACGGTTTATAAAAAATAAAACTCGGATGCGGTTCATCCGAGTGCCATGAAACTTTAGGAAGTAGATAAGAATACTCCCGAGAATATTTCTGCGAAAAAGAAAACTAAAGTTTCTTATGGGCGGCGCCATATAGGGTACAACTTTCGTCAATACACGGTTTGGCGCCCAGAGTTTTAGAGCGACTATGTTGGCATTTGGCATCCGTTAATCGAGCGTGCTGCATAGCGAGTAAGGGGTACTACTATACTCAGCGGTAAAACTACAACAGTCTTCTAAAAATAACTTTGTAACGCGAGGAAATCCTTCTGTACAGTTTCGTCACCTTGCCAAAGATGAACAAATAACTTTTTGAATATGAGGAGCCTACTGTAGAGTTTCGTCGCTTTGCGAATGATGCAATAAGCATCTACTATTAGACAATCCAGTCAGAAATTGAGATCGAGCATCTAATAATAGACCATTAGTAACGCTAGCATATTGCATCAGTCACACTGATATTTAAAACACGTCAAATAATTTTTTTACGTGTTAAAGAAAAAATTCCTGTTCATTTGTGTCACTTTAGCGAATGACGAAATCTGCATCATTATTAACAGGATGCTATTAGGCCGATGGCGTCTGATAGTTTTAAGGAGCCAGGTGTCATACGCCGCGCCTATGCGGTAGTGTAATCGGGGGGTGGGGGCCCTGAGAGCGCCCCTCTACGTCTCTAACACAGAGGCGGTCACCGAAGTGTGTTCTACCATATTATTTCGGTGAGTGATTAATGTACACTCAAGGTTTTCAGGCGGTAGTGTAGGTAAACCCGTGTCCTGATATTTATGATCCAAGAACAGGCATTGTTTACATTCAAATAACTCATTTTTAGAAAAGAAGGTCACGCTTCTAAGAACATATGATTGGTAACGCGTTGGTGAAATCCTTCTAATATATTTCGTCAAACTTTCTTCTATCCCCGCGGCAACGCGCGGGGGTCGGGTACGCTAGTATATATATATATATATATATATATATATATATATATATATATATATATATATATATATATATATATATATATATATATATATATATATATATATATATATATATATAATAAAACATAGAGTGTGATAAAAAAATAAAGGTAGTTCCTTACCTTCATCGTCTTGTATTCGAATTAATTCTCGTTTTATTACCAAAATAACAGATTTTGCTTTTTGTTTAATCGATTTTTTGTCAGACATTGACAGTCTATTCAGAGTGTCAACTACATCAGCGTTTCTCCGAATCAATTGTTTCCCATATTTTTGTCGGACGATTGCTTTAATCCAATCTAGGGTTGCTTCTTGCTCATCCAGATTTTTAGAATTCAGCATGAGGTGAATGCTGCTCATTGGCGTAGCATGCAGTATCTATACAGATGAAACAAATAAAGAGGATAGGAGCCCGTAAAAAAAATTATTAGACACGAAACAATAATTTCTCTATATCTATCTTAAGTGGTATTAATGTAGATGTTTCCATTAAAATATTATTTTTTTCGGGGATCCTTGCCAAATACGACAAAAAAAGCCATCTTAAAAAATGTACTTATTTCTTGGATTCCCACTGTTCATAAGTATTATATATTAAACCAAAAAAGTATGAATCCATAATATTCTACATAGTTTTATGTACTCCGCTAAACATTTTTAAGTGCAGATGTTAAAAAAATGTATTTTGAACTTTCAAAATGTTGGTCCCGTTAAAAAAAAGTAAATTCTGGGCTGTTATTTTAAATACATTTATTATTTTATAAACGTTGGCGTAATTTCAAGCTTTCGTTTAACTGCTTTTCTGTTTGTTGTTCTGTTTTTCTCATGTGTTGAAACGAGCGAGCGAAATTTTGAACTCCTATTATGGAACAACTTTTCAAAAGTCGGTACATATTTTAAGATCCAAGGCAAAGTGTTAGCAAATGTAACTTAATTGGATGTTTTATTAATAAGTTTTAAAGCAATGATTTAATTTCCTATGTAAATTATTAATTTCAGAGTCATTTTAATAACGCTGTGTTTATTTGGTATAAAAATGATTTTAACCCTGCAATTATACGGTTTTAAAATTGGAAATTAACAATGAAATTACGTTTTAATAATAAGCTTTAACATAATTATTCAATAAAAGTTATAAGTAAACGATTTACTAAAAAAAATCTATATTTTCTAGAGAATACTATTTCTAAACATTTTGAAGCTACCCATCCACCTTTTCTTTTAACTCACGTATACTTATCATCTGTTTTTAAGAAACATGTCAAAACTCAGAACTACGAAGAATTATATTGTGTACTTGTCAGAGCAACTTCAAGACTTAATATTATATTATATATAAAACTAATTCCAGTTTACTAGCTTTCGATGAATGTTAGTTTTAAAAAATTTCCACTCAGTAATGATATTCATCGTAATTGTTGATTTCTTATCACTATGTAAATGTAGAAATAAATGTAAACTACTCGAGCAAAGTTTATAATAAACAAATAACAAATATTACAACACATTTTTAAAACTTGCACACAAATCTACAATGAATATTATAATACCTTGTAGCCAGTTTTGGATTTTAAATAAAACTTTTCCAGACACTGTGTTAAAGAGGATAAGCTAAAGCCTTTGTAAGCTCTGTTCTCTTCTGTAAGTGCTTTCTCCATCCATTGTTTTAACATTTCCAAGTCATCTTCAATATTTTAACAGAAATATAATTAACTTACATTCACTATTAACCTATGTTAGATGGTTCATATTATCATTTTTGCAATCGAATGTAATAAAAATGAATGCCCACAGAATATATACAAGAAAATAAACAAGTTTGACCACTACACAATCGCTGAAGCAATGATGTGACCGACGTTTTCACTCATGTTTGTATACAATAGGTCCGGGGATTTCCAATTATTAATCGATATCTGAGACTAACAATTAAATTCTTATTTTCAACAAAACCTAAAACAAAATTTAACCTATTAAATTATACCTAAAGTCCAGGACATTTTGCTCAGCTTTAAATAAAAATAAGTACCTCGCATATTATAAAATAATTGAATTTATCGACAGTAAAAAAAAACCAATAAAAGGGCTTTAATTTCGCAGAATAAATATAAAAAGGGCAAAAGATAAAACGTATGGGCCAGAAAAAATGTTTAAGGCTAATCAATAAACGTAATGTAAAATACAGATAAATCTCAATGTAAACTTAAATATATATTAGAAAATGTAAACCTTTTGTAGGAACAAAAACATCGCATTCGGCATCCAAGAATGTGATTAATATTTTAATACTCATCACTAGTTCATCGTCTTTCACATGCATTAAGTTAGACAAAATCTAAAAGCAAACAATTAAACAGAACGTAACTAATAAAAACAATTACTAAAAAAATAGCTTGTCGTTTATTTACAGTTGAAATTATATATAGGTATATAAAAGTTTTAAATAGCTTATATAAAAAACAAAGCAATTTTAACTAATGCAATTGGAAGTTATTAGGAATTACCTTCAAAAGTTTCAGCCTTTCGTTTTCTAAATTCCAAATTAGTGTCAGATTGAATAAAACCCCAACAGCAAGGCCAATGAAAATATATAAGCTCTAAAAAAAATTACCTCATTATTAATTTAGCAGCATATATTTATTACTTTATAATACTCCGTACTCATAATCTTTACTGGAATGTCTGATACGTAATAGTTATTTGTGTATTAAAAATTGATGTTTATGAGAGTGATTCTAAAAGTTTTTGAAAAACAAATTTTCATTTTTTTAAAATTATACAGTATATTCCATTGCAACTATAACTAAGTGTAATTTATTTTAAATGACTGATACATACCTGGTTAATTTCTTTTTCTGTTATGTCACCTAGATGTTTTATTAGTACCTTTGCTATTCCACTTTGAGCCAAAGACTGGAATTGAATCAACACAATGACAAAGAAAACAATTGTGTAACATTCGGTTTTCAATATCTACAAGAACTTTAACTTTATGTTATTTATTATGCTAATTAACTTCTTAGACACATCAGACATTCAATTTTCTATTACGCTTCCATCACAAATGCCAAGACGCAAGTTTTTAAAATTATTTTAAAAATTCCTTATTGAAATTCCGTATAAACAAAAAATATTTAAAGGAACACAATATTACTGTTTGTTTGCAATCAAATGTGACTCAGTTCGCTAAAAAGATAAGAACAAAATTAGCAAATATTGTCAAACATAAATACCTCTAAAAAGTCCCTGTTATTATCGCTAAACCCCTTCATTGTCTCGAGAATTATTCCCATATAATAATGTGCAGAGAATTCAAATAGTTTAGACATTTGTAGATATTTAACGGAAAGCTCTGAAAATAATTCAACATGACTTCATACAAGTATGTAGCAGTTAGTTTTACAACATTTCTAATACACATGAACTCATTTAATAATGTATAATACTTAAACATCGTTCATATTTTTTAAGAAAAATCACCTAGATATTTTAAAATATAGTAAAAAATAATATAGATATATACATTTATACAATATACTTAAATAAATATAAATAATATTAGATAATAGTAACAAAGAGTATATATAATCAATTATATATATATATATATATATATATATATATATATATATATATATATATATATATATATATATATATATGTAAATATATATATATACATATATTTATATTTATATATATATATATATGTAAATATATATATATATATATATATATATATATATATATATATATATATATATATATATATATTAAACTAACAGAATAAAACAGATTATTGGAAATAGCATTACGTTTTCATCGCTATGTAAACTATCGAACACCTGTATTTATACTATATTTTTATTAATCTTGAGAAAGATTAGTGACGAGAGGTGTGCTCAGAAAATAATCAAACTATTCTTTGATTTCTGTGTCCGTAGGTTTTTTTTTTTATTACTTTAATTGAAATGGTTTGTTGAAAGCCGATGGTGCTCGTCTAGTTGATCAATGTGTTATATTTTGCACAGTATCGGTTAAGTTATAATTAACCTATATTTAAAAATATATATTTTGAGAGTTTAATAAATTTTAAAAATATTTTAAAATATTAAGTTTATTTGGGTGATATTTTTTTTTTAAACTTAGAGAGCTCGACAAAAATAAACTATCGTAATGAAATAAATCCATTTATCAACTCGAAACGATACATTACTTAAAAAAGTAATTTAATATAATGATTTCATTTTAACAAGTATTCCAGTGATAACAAACCTGCATATTTATACTTTACCAAGTCTTGCGCTATTAGGCTCAAATTTTTCTTAGAAGTCGTGTCTACATACATATAAATGAAATGACAGCATTTTTCAAAAACACAGTGTTCAAACAGATGAATATTCACATTTGGCTTTGCAAATTCAGATAAAACTTCAGCCAGGTGGATCTGTATTTCTTTAATTGGAACCATCTAACGAAAATGTATTTACATTGATAGATGTGATATATATATATATATATATATATATATATATATATATATATATATATATATATATATATATATATATATATATATGTCACTGAATATGTTTTCCAATATGCAAATGTATGTATACAAAGATATTTCATTATATTTACATCTACGATACGAATAAGTATTGTTGTATGTGTCTTTTTTATTATTTTTGCAAATTTTATATTTTCGTATATATATATATATATATATATATATATATATATATATATATATATATATATATATATATATATATATATATTCAAGTCATGTACTTTTTTAAATATTTATAATATTATCTGCAATTATATTGGTTTACTTTGAAGGGGTTAAATGAGTGCCGGTTTTATTTTCTGAGTTTGTTCAATGTGTCTTGCCAGAGAGTCGAATGTGAATATGTTGATCACGTTGTAAAATAAATAATCTGTCAATTATCTGAATATATACCTTATGTTCCGTAAGTCCATACAGATATTTTACCACTTTGAGGGTACTGCAAGATGTTAAAAATGAATTTTTAAGCATTTTTGTCGTGTAAAGAATGCACAGAAATTAGGCTCATCAGAGTTTCAAATTATAAATAAAATTATTTTCTTAGCAAATTATAAGCAATATTTGTGCATTTGCGATGTTAATTTTTTATTGAATGTAATAGTCCTCTGTGTTATCAGCATTCTAGAAAATAGTGAACTTTTTTACATGAATGCTGTTTTTTTAATGATCGATAAAATTAATATTTATAAAATGGTTATTTTTTTCTCTATTTATATCAAGATATATGCATTTGCAGCAATGTTAATCTCCGTAAACAGTATTAGTGGAAATGTAGGGCTTAAAATATAACAATTTACGAAATTGTATTACTTCAGAGCGATTTTACAATAACAAGAATCACACATTGTTAACGAATCAATAATGAATATTATAATTTAAAATTAATTTAAATATCCAGATTTTATGTGAAAGAAAATGTAATGAATAAAAACTATTTTAGTAATGCGAACTAATTTGTGATAGTAGCAAATACAAAGCTGATTGTACAAATAAAAATATAAAAAAGGGACGTCAGCTTTAAAATATACCTTTGTATGTTATTTAAGTTGATTTTATTTAAGCTCCATTCTTTTGTATCTTGAATGTAGCACATTAACACTTTAATTACTTCCTGTCTTTCTAAAATAAAATTCAATGATACATAATAAAATATGTTATAATATATTTACTAATATCACTATTAAAATTTAAATACTTGTATTAAATTGTAAATAACAAATAACGCTAATTTCAGAATATTTACTTACCATAAAACAAAATTGCATTGATTAATAGTAATAATTGACAATCTAGGCTGATTTTGCTATTCAAACTTTTTATTTTTCCTTCTGTCCATTGACCCTGATTCGTTGAATTCAATGCAAACTTCTTATGTATAAGTAAATCCAATATTTGAGAATGCCCAGATATAGCAGCTAAATCTGCAGCGTTATATCCTTGTAGGTTAACATCAGCGAGGCGGGCTTCGTTTTTTAAGAGAAGTTTTACTGTAGCGAAATGTCCATTTGATGCCGCGATCATTAGTACATTTGTCCCCGCATTATCACTGCTGTGGACATCTGCCTTATGTTGCAGTAACAAGTCCACAATGTGCATATGCCCTTTCATTGAAGCTAAGTACAGTGCATTTATCCCAAGATTATTTTTTGTTGAGACATCAGAATTATCTTTCAAAAACAGTTTGACGATGTCTACGTTACCAGTTTCAGCAGCTATCATCAATGCAGTTGATCCATCTTTATTTACATCAAACTGACTACAACCGTGTTTCAAAAGTAGCTGAACGGTTCTTGTGTGTCCATTTAGAGTAGCAAGCATTACTGAATTCAATTTACTTTTATTTTTGCTTGCAATATCTGCCTTGTTTTTAAGCAACAGTTCGATAATGTCGTCATAACCTTTAGAAGCAGCAATCAACAATGCATTTTGGTTCGACTTGTTCGCAATTGAAACATTAACATGCTGTTTTAACAGTAATTGTACTATTTCTAGTTGTCCATACTCTACTGCAATATGAAATGCATTTACAATAAACTGGTTTGTTTTGTTCTGTAGAAGTAATTTAACAGTAGACAAGTGTCCGGTTGATACTGCTGCCATTAAAGAATTCCAGCCTCTGTTGTCTTTTTTGTTGATATCAACCTTGTTTTCAAGCAAAATTTTCACAATTTCAATGTGCCCGTTGAGCGATGATAAATATAAAGCGTTCTGTCCCTGATTATTGGTTGCCAAAATATCAACTTGAGATTTCAAAAACAATTTAACTATTTCAACTTTACCATTTAACGCCGCCAGCATAAATGCGTTTGAACCGTCATTATTAACATCAGACGGAATTGCGCCGTTATCTAAAAGAGTTTTAACCGTATCTAAATGCCCTTCGTAGGCGGCTGCCATTAAACTGGTCCAACCGTTCTTGTCTTTGTCGTTGAGGTTTAATTTATCGAGAAGTAGCTTGACAACTTCTACATGCCCGTGTTGTGAGGCTACATGAAGTGCATGCTGCCCATTTGTATTTCTTGATAAAACATTAGCTTTGTGTTGCAAAAGAAGCTCCACCGCATTGACGTGACCCTTCGAAGCTGCGGCCATTAAAGAGTTCCATCCAACATTATTTGTGCTGTGGATATCTGCTTTGCTTTCAAGCAATATTTTTATGATTTCGCAATGACCAACCAGCGCTGCTAGAAATAATGCATTTTGTCCATTTTGATTAATGGTCGACGTATCTGGGTTTTGTTTTAATAGTAATCTTACAACATCCACATGTCCTTTGGCGACGGAAATCATCAATGCATTAGAACCTTCATCATTAATATCAGATGGGTTTGCGTGGTGTTTTAAAAGCATCTCAACTGTCTCTAAATGCCCCTTAGAAACAGCACACATTAAGGCATTCCATCCTCCATTGTTTCTGTTGTGAATTTCTCCCCCGCTCTGAACTAACAGTTCAACTATTTCCGAATGTCCGTTTAGAGAAGCAAGCATCAATGAATCGTTTCCTGATGTATCTCTCAACGTTTGGTCAAATTTGTGGTCTAAAAGTAATTTTAAAATATCCACACAACCATTCTGAGCAGCAATCATGAGGGCATTAAAGCCATCGTTGTTTATATTGCAAAAGTCTATTTTATTTTTTAAAAGTAAAGCAACTGTGCTTAAGCGGTTTTTCGAAACAGCAGCCATTAAAGAATCCCATCCTTTATCGTCTTTAGTATTGATGTCTACGTTATTTTTTAGCAAAAGCTCAATAATTTTATTTTGTCCGCGTTGTGATGCTAAATAAAGTGCGTTTTGTCCATTATTATTTTTAGACAAGACATCAATTTTTAATTTTAAAAATAGATTCACTATCTCGAGTTTACCAAATGCCGATGCGATAATGAAAGCATTCGAACCTAGATTGCTTACAGTTAACGGGTCCGCGCCATGCTTTAACAGTAACTTCACAGTGTTTAAATGTCCTTTAGAGGCAGCCGCCATTAAAGAAGTCCACCCTTTTTTGCATTTACTCATTATATCTGCCTTATGTGTAATTAGCACGCTAACTGTTTCATTGTGACCTTTGAGGGAAGCCAAATACAAAGCATTTTGTCCCACTTTATTTCGAGTGGAAATATCAGCGCAATGTTCTAGAAGTAGTTTGACGATTTCTACTTTTCCATTGTCTGCAGCAACCATTAATGTATTGTTACCTTCTTCGTTAACGTCAAACTGATTTGCATTGTGCTTGAGTAGTAACTCCACAGTGCTGACATGACCTTTTGACGCAGCATACATCAAAGAATTCCAATTTTTAGTATCTCGAACACTCACATCAGCACCGGTCTGAATTAAAAGTTCCACCATCTCAGTTTTTCCACAAAAGGAGGTCAATAAAATTGAATTCTTTGCATAAGGACTGCTAGAAAAATCTCCAGCATTTTTGTTAAAAAATAACCGAAAAATATCAATATTACCACTTTCGACAGCAATTGAAAACGCATTTTTTCCATCTTTGTTAATAACGAAAGGTTTCGCGTCGTGTTTTAAGAGAATTTCTACAGTAGAAACATGTCCATTTAAAGTGCTTAGCATTAAAGAGGTGAATTCATTATGATTTTTAAAATCAATATCTGCTTTATATTTTAATAATAACTCCACAATATTCGTGTAGCCTTTAGTCGATGCTAAAGTTAACGCATTGTCTCCCAAATTATTTGCACATGAAAGATTGCAATTGTTTTTTAAGAGTGCCTCAACTGTGCTAAGATGGCCGTTATTAGTAGCGAGCAGTAAAGCGTTCCAACCCTTTTCATCTGTGTTGTCAGTTTCTGCTTTCTTTAGTAACAGCAACTCTACAGTGTTAACGTGTCCCTTTTCTGAAGCAATCATCAGTGAGCTCCACCCTTTTTTATTCTTCACGTTGATGTCTGATTTGTTTTCGAGTAAAAAGCCAACTGTTTTTTCATGACCATAGCTAGACGCCAAATGCAAGGCATTTAACCCTTGTTGAGTTTTATAAAACATATCTGCATTATGTTGTAAGAGTAATTGTACAACATCTGTCTTTCCATTTGCAGCTGCGATTAAAAAAGCATTTAATCCTTCGTCATTGACGCAAGAAAGGTTAGCATTGTGTTTTAGAAATAGTTCTAATATTTTTAAATGGCCCTTAGAAGCGGCAGCCATTACGGGAGTCCAGCTTTCTTTACATTTGCTATTGATATCAATCTTGTTGCTTATTAATATTTCAACAATTTCATAGTATCCATTTAACGTTGCTACATACAACGCATTCTGCATTTGCTTATTCGTATGTGAAACTTGAAATTTCTTATTTAGGAGTAATTTTACAATCTTTAAATTTCCTTTAGCGCATGCTAGCGTTAAAGCATCAGAACCTTCATCGTTAACTTGGACCCTGATGGATTTTAGTTTTAAAAGTTTGTCCACGATAATTTCATGTCATTCAGCAGCGGCCAACATTAAAGCGTCACATCCATTTTTAGTTTTACTATTTACATCTATTTTATTATTTATCAGCAAATCGAGTATTCCTATTCTTCCTTTGTATGAAGCAATGTGCAATGCATTTTGACCATACGCGTCGGTTACAGTGATGGCGTCCGGCTGTTTTAAAAGCTGATTGGCTGTTTCGATCCTTCCGTTGGCTACTGCTATCAAAAAAGCGTTCAGTCCTTCGCTGTTAACTTCTTTTGTACTAGCGTTGTGGCTCAATAGTAGCGACACAACATGGGTGTGACCTTTAGATGATGCCGCCATTAAAGAATTCCATTTATAAATATCAGTGTCGTTGATGTCTGCGTTGTTTTTTAGCAACAAATCTACAACTGCCATATGTCCATTCAGAGAAGCTAAAAATAACGCGGTCCGCCCGTGCTTATTTTTTATTTTAACATCTGCGTTGTTTTCTAGAAGGATTTCAGCGATGTCAATTTTTCCAAAAATTGCGGCTATCATAAGAGCATTGTTGCCTAGCGTGTTTACATCGAACTGATTCGCTGAGTGCTTTAAAAGTAACTGCACTGTGGTTATGTGACCACTTGAAGCTGCCTTCATCAGTGAGTTCCAACCGTTGGTGTTTTTACTATGAATGTCAGTCTTGTACTCTAGAAGCAGCTCAACAACATCATTATGTCCATTGGTAGAGGCTAAAATCAAAGCATTGTTACCTCTCGAATCAACGCACTGGACAATACTTGCATTTCTTATCAAATGTTGTTTGACAATGCCTAGGCATCCTGTCGCCGCAGCTTGGAAAAAATCGTGAGGCTGTTGTATTGTATGAGGAGTAAGTGTAGTCCCAACATTCGTGACAGGTCTATCAGTGCCGATGTTTAATTCCATGGTGGTTATAATTTAAAGGAATAAAATCCTGTGCCATTTGAAAATAGGATAAAAAGTGGATATTACAAAATTAATAAACATGAAAATTTTAATTGATACTAATATATGTTATATTTATATATAAAGTATATAAGGCCTAAATATACGTATGTTAATATATACATAAATTAATGTAATATAAATACAAATATTATATTTATTCTATACACACACACACACACACAAACACACACACACACATATATATATATATATATATATATATATATATATATATATATATATATATATATATAATATTAAGTACATATTAAACACTTAAATACTGTGTATATAAATTTTATTATGGCAATAATAAATAAATATATATATATATATATATATATATATATATATATATATATATATATATATATATATATATATATATATATATATATATATATATAAAGCAAAGTGGTCGGGTGCCCGATAGGGCACTTCCCGGCGCCGCAGGCGCGTCAAATTTGGCACGAAGGTGCCTTATGGCGATAGAACACGAGGGCCGGTGACGGTTCGGCAAAAAGTCTACGGAGAGTGGGTCAAAACTGACCTCGACTGACCGGCGCCTTATATGGGCTATATTACGAAAAAAAAATTCCTCCGACGACCCCCCTTGAAATTTTGTGAGGTGGTAGGAGAACACCTTGGGGTGTCACAAAAAACTCGGCATATCTGGGAAAACTTCGTAAAGGGGTCAAAACTGACCAGTTGTATTTCCCTATATAATCTTTGTATTTTATGGGAAAAACAGAGGGTCATTTCAACGCAGACTTTAGGGTACTTAAGCTCAGTATATCTGGCTAATTTTTTGCATGCTCCTAGGTCAATGGCTTGACCTTTAGGGAAAACTGTCGGTTACACTCAAAGCCCTCGACGAGGGCTAAAAAGTGACCGCGAGTGAAATTCTCTTTATATGAGCTCTATTACGAAAAAAAAATTCCTCCGACGACCCCCCTTGAAATTTTGTGAGGTGGTAGGAGAACACATTGGGGTGTCACAAAAAACTCGGCATATCTGGGAAAACTTCGTAAAGGGGTCAAAACTGACCAGTTGTATTTCCCTATATAATCTTTGTATTTTATGGGAAAAACAGAGGGTCGTTTCAACGCAGACTTTAGGGTACTTAAGCTCAGTATATCTGGCTAATTTTTTGCATGCTCCTAGGTCAATGGCTTGACCTTTAGGGAAAACTGTCGGTTACACTCAAAGCCCTCGACGAGGGCTAAAAAGTGACCGCGAGTGAAATTCTCTTTATATGAGCTCTATTACGAAAAAAAAATTCGTCCGACGACCCCCCTTGAAATTTTGTGAGGTGGTAGGAGAACACCTTGGGGTGTCACAAAAAACTCGCCATGTCCGGGAAAAATCGGGAAATGGGTCAAAACTGACCAGTCGTATTTCCCTATATAATCTTTGTATTTTACGGGGAAAACAGAGGGTCATTTCAAAACGGATTTTATGGCACTTACGCTCTTTACATCTGGCTCAGTTTTGGCATGCTTATAGGTAAATGGCTTGACCTTTAGGGAAATCTGTCGGTTACACTCAAAGCCCTCGACGAGGGCTAAAAAGTGACCGCGAGTGAAATTCTCTTTATATGAGCTCTATTACGAAAAAAAAATTCCTCCGACGACCCCCCTTGATATTTTGTGAGGTGGTAGGAGAACGCCTTGGGGTGTCACAAAAAACTCGCCATGTCCGGGAAAAATCGGGAAATGGGTCAAAACTGACCAGTCGTATTTCCCTATATAATCTTTGTATTTTATGGGGAAAACAGAGGGTCATTTCAAAACGGATTTTATGGCACTTACCCTCTTTACATCTGGCTCAGTTTTGGCATGCTTATAGGTAAATGGCTTGACCTTTAGGGAAAACTGTCGGTTACACTCAAAGCACTCGACGAGGGCTAAAAAGTGACCGCGAGTGAAATTCTCTTTATATGAGCTCTATTACGAAAAAAAAATTCCTCCGACGACCCCCCTTGAAATTTTGTGAGGTGGTAGGAGAACACCTTGGGGTGTCACAAAAAACTCGGCATATCTGGGAAAACTTCGTAAAGGGGTCAAAACTGACCAGTTGTATTTCCCTATATAATCTTTGTATTTTATGGGAAAAACAGAGGGTCATTTCAACGCAGACTTTAGGATACTTAAGCTCAGTATATCTGGCTAATTTTTTGCATGCTCCTAGGTCAATGGCTTGACCTTTAGGGAAAACTGTCGGTTACACTCAAAGCCCTCGACGAGGGCTAAAAAGTGACCGCGAGTGAAATTCTCTTTATATGAGATATATTACGAAAAAAAATTTCCTCCGACGACCCCCCTTGATGTTTTGTGAGGTGGTAGAAGAACACCTAGGGGTGTCACAAAAAACTCGGCATATCTGGGAAAACTTCGTAAAGGGGTCAAAACTGACCAGTTGTATTTCCCTATATAATCTTTGTATTTTATGGGAAAAACAGAGGGTCGTTTCAACGCAGACTTTAGGGTACTTAAGCTCAGTATATCTGGCTAATTTTTTGCATGCTCCTAGGTCAATGGCTTGACCTTTAGGGAAAACTGTCGGTTACACTCAAAGCCCTCGACGAGGGCTAAAAAGTGACCGCGAGTGAAATTCTCTTTATATGAGCTCTATTACGAAAAAAAAATTCGTCCGACGACCCCCCTTGAAATTTTGTGAGGTGGTAGGAGAACACCTTGGGGTGTCACAAAAAACTCGCCATGTCCGGGAAAAATCGGGAAATGGGTCAAAACTGACCAGTCGTATTTCCCTATATAATCTTTGTATTTTACGGGGAAAACAGAGGGTCATTTCAAAACGGATTTTATGGCACTTACGCTCTTTACATCTGGCTCAGTTTTGGCATGCTTATAGGTAAATGGCTTGACCTTTAGGGAAATCTGTCGGTTACACTCAAAGCCCTCGACGAGGGCTAAAAAGTGACCGCGAGTGAAATTCTCTTTATATGAGCTCTATTACGAAAAAAAAATTCCTCCGACGACCCCCCTTGATATTTTGTGAGGTGGTAGGAGAACGCCTTGGGGTGTCACAAAAAACTCGCCATGTCCGGGAAAAATCGGGAAATGGGTCAAAACTGACCAGTCGTATTTCCCTATATAATCTTTGTATTTTATGGGGAAAACAGAGGGTCATTTCAAAACGGATTTTATGGCACTTACCCTCTTTACATCTGGCTCAGTTTTGGCATGCTTATAGGTAAATGGCTTGACCTTTAGGGAAAACTGTCGGTTACACTCAAAGCACTCGACGAGGGCTAAAAAGTGACCGCGAGTGAAATTCTCTTTATATGAGCTCTATTACGAAAAAAAAATTCCTCCGACGACCCCCCTTGAAATTTTGTGAGGTGGTAGGAGAACACCTTGGGGTGTCACAAAAAACTCGGCATATCTGGGAAAACTTCGTAAAGGGGTCAAAACTGACCAGTTGTATTTCCCTATATAATCTTTGTATTTTATGGGAAAAACAGAGGGTCATTTCAACGCAGACTTTAGGATACTTAAGCTCAGTATATCTGGCTAATTTTTTGCATGCTCCTAGGTCAATGGCTTGACCTTTAGGGAAAACTGTCGGTTACACTCAAAGCCCTCGACGAGGGCTAAAAAGTGACCGCGAGTGAAATTCTCTTTATATGAGATATATTACGAAAAAAAATTTCCTCCGACGACCCCCCTTGATGTTTTGTGAGGTGGTAGAAGAACACCTAGGGGTGTCACAAAAAACTCGGCATATCTGGGAAAACTTCGTAAAGCGGTCAAAACTGACCAGTTGTATTTCCCTATATAATCTTTGTATTTTATGGGAAAAACAGAGGGTCATTTCAACGCAGACTTTAGGGTACTTAAACTCAGTATATCTGGCTAATTTTTTGCATGCTCCTAGGACAATGGCTTGACCTTTAGGGAAAACTGTCGGTTACACTCAAAGCCCTCGACGAGGGCTAAAAAGTGACCGCGAGTGAAATTCTCTTTATATGAGCTCTATTACGAAAAAAAATTTCCTCCGACGACCCCCCTTGATATTTTGTGAGGTGGTAGAAGAACACCTAGGGGTGTCACAAAAAACTCGGCATATCTGGGAAAACTTCGTAAAGCGGTCAAAACTGACCAGTTGTATTTCCCTATATAATCTTTGTATTTTATGGGAAAAACAGAGGGTCATTTCAACGCAGACTTTAGGGTACTTAAACTCAGTATATCTGGCTAATTTTTTGCATACTCTTAGGTAAATGGCTTGACCTTTATGGAAAACTGTCGGTTTCACTCAAAGCCCTCGACGAGGGCTAAAAAGTGACCGCGAGTGAAATTCTCTTTTTATGAGCTTTATTACGAAAAAAAATTTCCTCCGACGAACCCCCTTGATATTTTGTGAGGTGGTAGGAGAACGCCTTGGGGTGTCACAGAAAACTCGGCATATCTGGGAAAACTTCGTAAAGGGGTCAAAACTGACCAGTCGTATTTCCCTATATAATCTTTGTATTTTATGGGAAAAACAGAGGGTCATTTTAACGCAGACTTTAGGGTACTTAAGCTCAGTATATCTGGCTAATTTTTTGCATGCTCTTAGGTCAATGGCTTGACCTTTAGGGAAAGCTGTCGGTTACACTCAAAGCCCTCGACGAGGGCTAAAAAGTGACCGCGAGTGAAATTCTCTTTATATGAGCTCTATTACGAAAAAAATTTCCTCCGACGACCCCCCTTGATATTTTGTGAGGTGGTAGAAGAACACCTAGGGGTGTTATAAAAAACTCGGCATATCTGGGAAAACTTCGTAAAGCGGTCAAAACTGACCAGTTGTATTTCCCTATATAATCTGTGTATTTTATGAGAAAAACAGGGAAATTTTAACACAATTTTTAGGTTACTTAATGTCTGTACATCATGCTAAGTTTTTGCATACACTACTATAGATGACTAGGCCGTATGGAAAAACTGTTGGTC